CTTCAACCCCTCCTTCAACCCCTCTTCAACCCCTCTTCAACCCCTCCTTCAACCCCTCCTTCAACCCCTCCTTCAAACCCCTCCTTCAACCCCTCCTCACCCCCCTTCAACCCCTCCTTCAACCCCTCCTTCAACCCCTCTTCAACCCCTCCTTCAACCCCTCCTTCACCCCCTCCTTCAACCCCTCCTTCAACCCCTCCTTCACCCCTCCTTCAACCCCTCCTTCAACCCCTCCTTCAACCCCTCCTTCAACCCCTCCTTCAACCCCTCCTTCACCCCTCCTTCAACCCCTCCTCAACCCCTCCTTCAAACCCCTCCTTCAACCCCTCCTTCAACCCCTCCTTCAACCCCTCCTTCAACCCCTCCTTCAACCCCTCCTTCAACCCCTCCTTCAACCCCTCCTTCAACCCCTCCTTCAACCCCTCCTTCAACCCCTCCTTCAACCCCTCCTTCAACCCCTCCTTCAACCCCTCCTTCAACCCCTCCTTCAACCCCTCCTTCAACCCCTCCTTCAACCCCTCCTTCAACCCCTCCTTCAACCCCCTCTCCCTTCCCCCCTCATTCATTTACCAGGTTGTCTACACGACAGTGATGAAGCTGTTTGCGTGGGCGGGCAGGACGGATGGTGTGCCACGCACTCCTGAAAACAGCTTCATCACTGTCGTGTAGGCAACTACACTGAATGCGTGCCTGAAACTAGCAGCCTCCTTTGTTCACTTCCCTCGCTCTGTTCCCCCTCCACTCATTCGTTCACCAGGTTATCTACACAACTGTGATGAAGCTGTTTGCGCGGGCGGGCAGGACGGATGGCGTGGCTCGCATTGCGGGCCTGCTCAGGGAGGAGGGCAGCAGGGAGGACGGCCTCTTTCCCAATCCCCTCCCTGCATCCCCTGCCCCCATCCCCTGTCCCCTCTGTCCCCCATCAGGTGATCTACACGACAGTGATGAAGCTGTTTGCGCGGGCGGGCAGGACGGATGGCGTGGCTCGCATTGTCGCCCTGCTCAGGGAGGAGGGCAGCAGGGAGGACGGCCTCTTTCGGCTGGATTCTAAGACGATATGCGCGCTTATCGCTGCTTACAACAGCATGGGAGACCTGAATTCTGCGCAGGAGGTATGATGTTCGAGAGAGACGATTACGGAGGTGTTTCTTTCTTGTATGGTTTCCTTCTCGCTGATTGCTGCTTACAACAGCATGGGGGACATGAATTCTGCGCAGGAGGTATGGGGAAGAGCAGGGAGGTATGGGGGAGAGGCTGGGGTGGGGTATGGGCTCTGATCGCTGCGTGTAACAGATCGGCGCAGGAGGTATGCTCTTAAGTCAGCATGTTGGAAAGGATTTGGCTGGACTCTCAGATAACGTGTGCTCCGGTTGCTGTTACTGATGGCTGATTGCTGATTGCTGCATAAAACAGATCGGCACAGGAGGTATGTTCTCAAGTCAGCATGTTGGAAAGGATTTGGCTGGACTCTTAGATAACGTGTGCTCCGGTTGCTGTTACTGATGGCTGATGGCCGATTGTTGATCGCTGCGTAGAACCGAGTGCGGGGGGGGGGGGAGGGGGGGAGGGGGGAGGGGGGGGGGTGTGGGACGTGGTGGTGTGGAATGCCATGGTGGGCAAGTGTATGGGCTGCAGCAGCAGTAGGTGCTCTCCATCGCACAGAACCCATACACAATCCCTCTCTATTCCGTGCCTGCCCCTTCCTCCCTTGTTCACAGGTGTTTGAGGCAGCCCAGGCAGCCACGCCCCCAGGCGAGTGGGGCGTGGTGGTATGGAACGCCATGGTGGCCGCGTATGGGCTGCTGCTGCAGCAGCAGCCACTCTCCACCGCACAGAACCCATCTGTAGTCTTTCTCTGCTGCACCCCCTTCCCTCCCTAGGTGTTTGAGGCGGCACGAGCAAGCACGCCCCCAGGCGAGTGGGACGTGGTGGTGTGGAACGCCATGGTGGCCGCGTATGGGCGGGCGGGGAAAGTGAAGCAAGCAGAGGAGTTATTGCTGCAGATGGAAGCACAGGCGGATGGGGCGGACGGGAGAAAAGGGGGGAGTGAAGGGGAAGAAGGGGCGCACGAGGTTGATACAGGGGCGGCGTGGGGGAGTGTAGAGGCGGATTGGGGGAGGGTTGAGGCGGATGGGGGGAGCGTTGAAACGGATAGGGTGGGCCAGAGCATGGGAGGGCCAGGCGGAGCGGAGTCCGTTGGTAGGGTGCAAAGGGGTGCTGCTGGGTCGATTATATCGTCTACTCAAGAAGGGAACTGGGTGCAAGGGGCCATTGAGGAGTCTGAAAAACGTAAGGGCAGTGCTGTTAACGGGGTCGATAGGGCAGGAGGGAGCCTGGTAGAACTAAGAAGGCTCGGGCAGGATAGCAGCTCTGGTGCAACAGTAGCTCCAGCAGCAGCAGCAGAATCAGCAGCAGAAGATGATGAGAGTAATGTGGTTCGCAATGTTTCTGAATCAGCAGCTGTGGCAGCAGACGCACCTGTAGCAGACACATCAGTAGCAGAAACATCTGTAGCAGATACACTGGCAGAGGCACACACACCAGACGCGAATGCAGAAAGAACGTTCAGAGTTGTGAGTTCCCAAACCAACCTCGGGCCACTGGAACCCCAGTCTCGCCCATCCCCGCTCCTACAGCCTGCCCTTGCCTACTCCGAACCAGCTTCGGTAATTTCCGGGCCTCTGTCAGAGGTTTGGAGCGATGCTCCGGGTGAGCTTTGGAGCGAGGCTCGGGAGGGGCTAGTGGCAGCAACTGCGACTGTGGCTGTACCCCCAGTTGCAAGCCTGGAGGCGCAAGGTATCAGCAACAGTGACAGCAACGGCAGGAATGAAATTGGGAACGACACAGCTAGTGGAGGTGTTGGCGATGGGGGTCTTGTGGCAGCAGGTGTAGATGGTGGTGGAACAGGGAATTCTGGGGGTAGATTGTCGGTTCCCCCTTCCTCCTCCTCCTCCTCCTCCTCCCCCTCTTGTTGCAACGGTTTTGAGAAAGCCTACCCCGTTACCTTCCTCTGCTAGCAGCAGCAGCAGCAGTAGCAGCAGCAAAAGTTCTAGCAGCAGCCGAAATGACAGCCGTAGCAGTAGTACAGTCGATGACCGTACAAACAGCAGCAGGAGCAGCAGCGGCAGCAGCACCAACAGGACTGGTGGGTTAGAAGCAGCAGTAGAGGACAAAAATGTGAGCAGTAGCGGCAGCTCAGGTGAACCTTCAGGTGGATTTTCAGGTGTTTTATCAGCAGGAGAAACAGGGGGCAGCGGGGAGGAAGGCAGGGGCGACGAGGAGGAAGGGGAGGAGATTGATAGGGAGGTGGAAAGGAGGGAGATGCAACGGCGGGAGGGAGGAGGAAGGAGAGGGGGAAAGTCGACCAGGGGATATTCTGGTGGCACTGGCAGGGCTAGTTGGGGGAATGACAGAGAAGAGGCGAGACGAGGGAGAGGGGAGGGTGGTGCAAGGAGAGGAAGGGAGAGGATTGGTGGTGGAGGAGGAGGAGGGGGATTGGAAGGAGGAGGTCGGGAGCTGTCTCCCCCACGGTTTGGGCCGACACTGAATGCGTACAACTCGCTGCTAAACGCGTATGCCAAGGCGGGGGATGTGGACAAGGCAGAGAAGACGTTCAAGGTAGGCTGGAGATTAGGTGCAGGCAACGCTGGGTGAGTCAGGGGCAGTCAGGCGGGGAGGGGGCGACAGGGAGCTGTCGCCCCCTCTGTTTGGGCCAACCTGAATGCATACAACTCGTTGCTGAACGCGTATGCCAAGGCGGGGGACGTGGACAAGGCAGAGGAGACGTTCAAGGTAGGCTTGAGATGAGGTTTGGGTATGGGATATTCAAGTGAAGTGGTAGAGTGGAGAGGAGAGGACACTCAATGCGTACAACCACTGCTGAATGCGTATGTCAAGGCAGCGGATGTGGAAAGGGCTGAGAAGACCTTCAAGGTAGGCTAGTAAGATCCAGTCAGAGAGAAAAAGGGAACGTTGAGTTGAATGCTCACAACTCACCGCACCCCCTCTGCGTCCTCTCCTCCACCCACCTCTTCTCTCCCCTTCCCCACCCCACCCCTTCCCTCTACGCCTCACTGCCTTCCCCTCTGTCAAGCCCGTTCCCAATTGACCCTTTCCCACTCCCTCCTCCGTTTCTCCCACTGCGCCTCACTCATTGCTCGAAACTTCTACCGACCGTGACCTTCAACACGCACTTCTCGCTCTTTGCATCCTGTCCCCCCTCATTCCCTCTGTTCCTGCCCCCCCCTTCACACAGCGCCTCATGGCACGTGGATTCTACCCCTCAACCATGACTTTCAACACGCTCTTCTCGCTCTACGCCTCGCTGCCCTCCTCCGTCTCTGTCCGATCCCTCCCAATTGACCCCCGCCTCATCCCCCCTCCCTGCTCCCCCCCCCTCCCCCAGCGCCTCATGGCACGGGGATTCTACCCCTCCACAGTCACATTCAACACCCTCTTCTCGCTCTATGCATCGCTGCCCTCCTCCCTCCCTGCTTGACCCGTCCTCACTTCCTCCGTGCTTCCCCATCTCTCCTTCCCTGCTCCCCCCTCCCCTCCCCCAGCGCCTAGACATGATCACGAGTCGAGTCGAGCCGAGTCACCTCGAATCGCGGTCGAGTCGGGTGTTGCGTCGAGTCGAGTCGAGTCGAGCCATAGTCGAGTCAGTTTTCCGGAACTGCCGACTCGTGCTCGACTTCTGAAATCGAGTCATGCCTTGACTCGAGCACGAGTCAACAACTCGCGAGTCAGTCTTGACTCGACTTAACCGTAAAGAATTTTTAAGGGCCCCAAAAGTCGTGTCCTGATTCGTAGCTAGCATGCAAGGTAGGAATGACAAAATCCCGTCCCTTCCCCTTTCAGCACAGGTAAATTGATGCGCACCCAAAATTGCGTGAAAGGCGGAAATTGGGTGTCGGCGGAATTTGCGTGACAGGCGGAAATTGGGTGTCGGGGGAATTTGCGTGAAAGGCGGAAATTGGGTGTCGGCGGAATTTGCGTCACAGGCGGAAATTGGGTGTCGGGGAAATTTGATGTGTGACAGGCGGAAATTGAGTGTTGGGGGGGGATTTGCATGTCGAGCGGAAATTGAGTGTCAAGGAAGATTTGCTAGTCAAGCGGAAATTGAGTGATGGTCGGGAATTCGGTGACGGGAGAAATTGCATGAGGAAAGGAGGGGGAATTGACAACGGGAATCCACGTGGATAAAGTTGGTGGCCCTCGAGTCAGGCCAGCTCGAATCGAGTCAGCCGACTCGCCGACTCGTGGCTCACCAGACTGTCCAAAGTCGAGTGGGGCGATGCATCGAGATTTCTCCTCAGTTCGACTCGACTCGACTCTACTCGAGTCAGGAAAATAAAATAACTGACTCGACTCGACCTAAAGTCGAGTCGAGCCAGCGAGTCGAGCTAAAACTCGCCTCGATTGATCATGTCTACCAGCGCCTCATGGCACGGGGATTCTACCCGTCAACAGTCACATTCAACACGCTCTTCTCGCTCTATGCCTCGCTGCCCTCCTCCTCCTCCTCGCTCTCTGCTGCCCGCCGCCTGCACGCCCTCATGCTAACCATGGACGTGCCTCTCGACGCGCTCTACCCGTCCCTCTAGACGTGCCTCTGGAGTCTGGCCGTCCCTCTCCACGTGTACTTGTGCTGTTCTTTGAGTGGCCTGTTCAGCCGGTTGTCACCATTACCACCCCCCCGTCCTGCTCATCTTCCCCCACCCCCTCTGTGTCTGCTTCCCCCACCCATCCCCTCTCCCCAGCGTCTCATGGCACGGGGATTCTACCCATCAACCGTGACCTTCAACACGCTATTCTCACTCTATGCCTCGCTGCCCTCCTCCTCCTCCTCGCTCTCTGCTGCCCGCCGCCTGCACGCCCTCATGCTGCAAATGGACGTCCCTCTCGATGTTTACTCGTGCTGCTCTCTCATTGGCCTGCTCAGCCGCTCCGGGCAGGTTGAAGAAGCGGTTGGGCTGTTTGAAAGAATGAAGGCGCAGGGCGTGCAGGTGCGTGTGTGGGGGTGTGATTTTGTGGGTGTTGGTGAGTGAATGCAAGGGTGTGGGTGGGTGTGTGTGTATGCAACAGTGGGGAGGTGGGTGTGGGTGGGTGTGTACGTGCGTGCATATAGAGGCATGCGTTGGTGCATGCGTCTGTGTGTTCCCGTCCGTGTCCCTTCCCTGTACACTCAACCCCACCGCAAGCTGAAGTTCCACGTGTGATGAGACGAAGTTCCAAGTTGTTTGAGTCCTCTACCTGTTCGATCTAAACCCACGGCGGATTCCGAGGCGCAACCAGCCAGCCAAAGCTCCGTCTTTGATCCCTTTCCCCACCCATCTCCTCCTCTCCCGCCCTTCTCTTGACACACCCCCTCCGTCCCCTCCGCCACTATTAGCTGGACTGACATGTCTACAACAGTGCTATGATCGCCGTGGTCGCCTGGCACGGCAAGCTGGGGTTTCAAAATGTTTCATTTTAGAATTCCCAAAAGTAACACCAATATAGTTTTCAGCGCATTTTGAGACGTCTCAAAACACGTTTAGAATTCCCAAAAGTAACACCAATATAGTTTTCAGCGCAATGATTGGCGTGTTCGGCCGTCATGGCAAGTTGCAGTTTCAAAGTGCAACCAACCAAAGCCTTATCTTCTTCGCTCCCTTCCCCCAACCACCCCGCCTAACCCTCCCTTTCTCCCAACGACCCCCACCAGCCGGACTTGCACGTCTTCAGTGCAATGATTGCCATGTTCGCCCGACACGGCAAGTTTGAGGCTCCTTAGCCCAACCAACCATCCTCTCCCCTCTCCCCCTCCTCCTCCCCCCCCCCCCCCCCCCCCCCCACCAGCCGGACTCGCACGTGTTCAGTGCAATGATCGCAATGTTTGCGCGGCACGGCAAGCTCATGTTCCAAGACACAACCAACCAGGCCTCCCTTTTTCCCCTTCCCTCTCTCCCCCTTCTCCTTCCTCCCCCCCCTCCCAACCAGCCGGACTCACACGTGTTCAGTGCAATGATCGCCATGTTCGCGCGGCACGGCAAGCTCATGTTCCAAGACACAACCAACCAGGCCTCCCTTTTTCCCCTTCCCTCTCTCCCCCTTCTCCTTCCTCCCCCCCCTCCCAACCAGCCGGACTCGCACGTGTTCAGTGCAATGATCGCCATGTTCGCACGGCACGGCAAGCTCATGTTCCAAGACACAACCAACCAGGCCTCCCTTTTTCCCCTTCCCTCTCTCCCCCTTCTCCTTCCTCCCCCCCTCCCAACCAGCCGGACTCGCACGTGTTCAGTGCAATGATCGCAATGTTTGCACGCCACGGCAAGCTCATGTTCCAAGACACAACCAACCAGGCCTCCCTTTTTCCCCTTCCCTCTCTCCCCCTTCTCCTTCCTTCCCCCCCTCCCAACCAGCCGGACTCGCACGTGTTCAGTGCAATGATCGCCATGTTCGCGCGCCACGGCAAGCTGGAGGTCCAAGGCGCAACCAACCAGAGTTTTAACCCTTTTCCCTGAACCCTCTCTTGGTTTCCACCCCCCACCCCACCAGCCGGACTCGCACGTGTTCAGTGCAATGATCGCCATGTTTGCACGCCACGGCAAGCTCATGTTCCAAGACACAACCAACCAGGCCTCCCTTTTTCCCCTTCCCTCTCTCCCCCTTCTCCTTCCTCCCCCCCCTCCCAACCAGCCGGACTCGCACGTGTTCAGTGCAATGATCGCCATGTTCGCGCGCCACGGCAAGCTGGAGGTCCAAGGCGCAACCAACCAGAGTTTTAACCCTTTTCCCTGAACCCTCTCTTGGTTTCCACCCCCCACCCCACCAGCCGGACTCGCACGTGTTCAGTGCAATGATCGCCATGTTCGCGCGGCACGGCAAGCTGGAAGCCGCGCTGAGAACCTTCAAGGAAATGAAGGCGGCGGGGTGTGCAGTAGACATGCCAGTGCTGACATCCATGATCGGCGTGTATCACCGTTTAGGGTTATTGGAAGAGGCATCAGCAGCTGCAATGGATGCGATTGTGAGTGTTTTCGGTGGGAATAAAGGCTTCTTTGGGTACAGAGAAGACATGAAATGCAGGTGTGCAGTGCACATGCCAGTGCTGACGTCCATGATCGGCGTGTACCACCAACTGGGGCTTCTAGAGGAGGCGTCTGCAGCAGCGATGGATGCGATTGTGAGTGGTTCTGAGTGGTGCCTCCTGTGCCTTGGAGTGCTGAACCTTGAGGTGTTGAGCCTGTGCCTGCCTAGGGGTGCGCAGTGCACATGCCAGTGTTGACGTCCATAATCGGCGTGGACCACCGCCGGGTCTGCTGGAAGAGGCAGCAATGGATGCCATTGTGAGTGGTTCTGAGTGGTTGTTAGTGGTACCAACTGTAACTTCGTCTCGGGTGTGCAATGGACATGCCAGTGCTGACGTCCATGATCGGCGTGTACCACCGCCTGGGGCTTCTAGAAGAGGCGTCTGCAGCAGCAATGGATGCGATTGTGAGTGGTTCTGAGTGGTTGTTAGTGGTACCACCTGTAACTTCGTCTCGGGTGTGCAATGGACATGCCAGTGCTGACGTCCATGATCGGCGTGTACCACCGCCTGGGGCTTCTAGAAGAGGCGTCTGCAGCAGCAATGGATGCGATTGTGAGTGGTTCTGAGTGGTGTCTCCTGTGCCTTGCAGTGCTGAACCTTGGGGTGCTGAGCCTGTGCCTAGAGGGGTGTGCAGTGGACAAGCCAGTGCTGACGTCCATGATCGGCGTGTACCACCGGCTGGGGCTGCTGGAAGAGGCGTCAGCAGCAGCTATGGACCCCATTGTGAGTTGCCTTGGAGTGTCGAACCTTGGGGCTGAGGTGCTGAGCCTGTGCCTGCCTAGGGGTGTGCAGTGCACATGCCAGTGCTGACTGCTGTCTCTGCTGTCCATGATCGGCGTGTACCACCTCCTGGAGTTGATGGAAGAGGCGTCAGCAGCAGCTATTGTGAGTGAGGCTTTGAGGTGCCTTGAGAATGCATGTGCATGTGCGTGTGCTGGGGTTGACTGTGACGTCCCATGTTTAGCTTGGCTTGGCATGTACCGCCACCACCTTCCTGCTCTCCCTTCCCTCCCCCCCCCCAGACGCAAAGCAGCGGGCATCTGGACCCTGTGATTGCCAGTGAGGTGGCTTTTGAGTCGACTCAAAAGTCACCTCGCAGGACAGCGGGCACCAGGACCGTGATTGCCAGTGCCATCATCTCCCTCGTCTTCTCACTTCCACTGTTTCTCTCTCTTCTCAATTCCCCACGTCTACCCCCCCACACACGCTTTCCCTCATCTCCCCTCTCGCTCAGACTCAGGACAATGGGCATCTGGAACCTGTGATTGCCATCCCATCATCTCCCTCTTCCCATCGCTTCCGTTGTATCTCTCTCTTCTCAAAACCCAGGCCCCCCATTCCCGTCTCCCCCTCACACACGCCTCCCCTCCTCCCCACCTAAGTTGGTCTCTTACGTTTATCGAGGTCTCGTAAACGTAAATTTCGCGTAATTTTGGTAAACGTAAACGAAAACCTAAAATCACGTGTAAGTATGAGGCGGGCAGGAAAAATAAAACTAATGTTTTTTTTTTTTTCCTGGATTAAGTACGTACGGGTACTAGATCCTACTACTAACTTGCCGTGTGCCTTTCTAGAATAGCAACTTTAGTAGGTATGGAGCGCCTTTCAAGTCCGTGAAAGTTTCAAATTCAGCGTTGTTGACCTGGTGAGTAGGCGAAAAACACGATAGATTACGAACGAGCTGCTAGGTTGACGTCGAACAAGATAGCGAGTTACGGAACTAGGTTGGAGGGAGTCTCCCTGATGCTCTGGTCGTTTTTTTTCCTTGGGCAGCTCAAAAACGTTTTTAGGGCGTATCTTGGGTTCCGGTCATGAGCACTGTTCATGGCACTGTTCCGGTCATGCGGTTTTTGCGCATGACCCGAAGTGGGCTGCCGAGCCGCGCGCGGCCCCAGCTTTGGGTCAATGTGCAGGTGTTGGGCGACTGACGTGCACGACCCACCCCCAACCAATCACCTGGTTGCACGTTTCACGTTAGACTGCCGAAATTTTGGCGGTCGTCAGTCGAGTGCCAGAATTTTCCCGTGTACCGTATCCTAACCACTCGGCAAAATGACCCTATTGACCCACGAAATGTGTCTAACATTCCCCGCGTCGCGCTCCCAACATTTGGGGATTCATGCCGACATTTTTAGCGATCGTGTTTTGCGTGGGTGTCGCAAACGAACTTTCGGACTGTTCTGGCATCCCTCCATTGGATGCGACTGTTGTTTGGGGCGTAATTTTGGCGCGAAAAGCCTCGCGCCAATTTGGGGGTCGCATGAGTCCCGAGAACCCAAAGTGGTGTTTTTAGTTGTTCCGGGCATCCGCAATTCGCGCATGCCCGGAACAGTGCTCATGACCGGAACCCAAGATACGCCCTTAGGTGACCGTAAGCGTAAGGCTGAGTAAGGGAATTGTTTGTAAACGTAAAAATCGTCGTAATCGTATGAAAACGTAAGGAACCGAAAACGTAAGATCCAACTTAGCTCCCCACCCCAGACGCAGGGAAGTGGGCATCTGGACCATGTAATCACTAGCGCCATCGCCTCCCTCTTCTCTCCCTCTTCTCATTCGCCAGTCTCCCTTTCATTCCCCACTTCCCCACTCTCCTCTGTATGTGTCTCCCTCTATCTTTTTAACCTTCTCCCCCTACCACAGACTCAGGGCAGCGGGCATTTAGATCCGGTGATCGCCAGTGCCATCATCTCCCTCTTCTCTAAACAAGGCCGGCTTGGGGACGCTGTGAGAATCTTTCGGGCTGCCCGGGGCATGGGCAGCCGGCAGATCCAGCCGGGCAGCATCGGCGAAAATAGTGTGAGCAGCTGGAGTAGGAACAACAGCGTCTGGAGCAGAAGCGGTAGCAGCAGTGGCAGTAGCAGCGACAGCGACAGCAGCAGCAACGGTGGCACTGACGAGAAAACAAGTCTACCTATACCAGACGTAGAGTCAGGAGAAGCAGCAGGATCAGAGGCCGGAGCTACAGCATCATCAGAAGCAGAAAGAGCAGGAGCAGCACGGGCAGCAGTGTCGGCAGCAGCAGGGGAAGAGCTAGGAGCAGCACCTTCAGCCGCAGCAGAATCAGCAGCAGGAGCAGCAGGAGAAGCAACAGCAACAGCAGCAGCGGTAGCGGCAGGAGCGGCAGGAGCAGGAGCAGCAGCAGTAGGGGGTAGTCCGCCCAAGAGGCGACACAGGGGGAGGGGGAGGGGCAGGAGGCGGGGGGGGCGAGTGGATGCAGTGCTGCTGAGCACGATGATGGATGCCTACAGCAAGGCGGGACAACTAGATGCTGCTGAGGCGCTGTTCGCTGAGATCCTGGTGGGTACAGTGCGGTGTGGGTGGTTATGATGTGGTTGGGAATGGTGAAGCATCTTGTTCTTGAGTGGAGTGATTAGTGCTGCTGAGCACGATGATGGACGCCTACAGCAAGGCGGGGCAGCTGGATGCTGCTGAAGCACTGTTCGCTGAGATATTGGTGAGTGCGGAGGTGGAGTGTGATTGGAAGCGGTGTGGTTCGGTAATGTGTGGTTGGGTATGGGTGGGTGGATATGGTGTAGCATCTTTTGTTCTCAGTGGATGCGGTGCTGCTGTGCCGAGCACGATGATGGACGCCTACAGCAAGGCGGAGCAACTAGATGCTGCTGAATCACTCTTTGCTGAGATTCTGGTGAGTACAGTGCAGTGTGGGTGGGTGGGTGTGCGAGTGGAAACAGTGGGTGGCTACGGAGCATGCAGTGCATGCAGTGCAGTGCATCGGTGCTGCTGAGCACGATGATGGACGCCTACAGCAAGGCGGGGCAGCTGGATGCTGCTGAGGCCCTGTTCGCGAAGATCCTGGTGGGTACAGTGCGGTGTGGATGGGTAGGGAAGCACTGCAGGTGGTTGTTGTTGTTGTTGTTTGTTTGTTTGGTTGTTTGTTTTTTTTTCCGTCTTTACTTGAAAATGGGTTGCAACTTCTAACACTACTCTCCCTCTCTCTCCTTTCCCTTCTCCAGGCGGATGAGTCGGGCACCATTGTGGGCCTGTCAGCACACACACACCACCATAATTCGACAAAAAGGAATTCCAGTGTGCCGTGTGCCGTGTGCCGTGTGCCGTGTGCCGTGCGCCGTGTGCCGTGCGCCGTGCGCCGTGCGCCGTGCGCCGTGCGCCGTGTGCCGTGCGCCGTGTGCCGTGTGCCGTGCGCTGCGCCGTGTGCCGTGTGCCGTGCGCCGTGGGCCGTGGACCGTGCGCCGTGCGCCGTGCGCCGTGCGCCGTGGGCCGTGGGCCGTGGGCCGTGCGCCGTGCGCCGTGGGCCGTGGGCCGTGCGCCGTGCGCCGTGCGCCGTGCGCCGTGCGCCGTGTGCCGTGTGCCGTGCGCCGTGCGCCGTGTGCCGTGTGCCGTGTGCCGTGAGCCGTGCGCTGTGTGCCGTGCGCCGTGTGCTGTGTGCTGTGTGCTGTGTGCAGTGTCCTTTTAAGTATACCACTATACTCCCCCGTCCCCCTCTTCCTCCCCCTCTTCTCAACCTCCATACACACACACACCCCAGGCGGATGAGCCGGGCAGCTTAGTGGACCTGGCAGCACACACCACCATGATCACTGTGTATGGAAAGCACACTCAGTTCAATGTATAATCCATCTCTACTCCACCTCCACCCTCTTCCCCTCTCCCCTTCCGGCCTGTCCCCCCCACCACCCACCACTCTCCGATACACACACACGCCCCTTCAGGCGGATGGGTCGGGCAGCATAGCGGACCTGGCAGCATGCACTACCATGATCAACGGGAAGCACACTGGGTCATACCGTATTCTCCGCTTTTCGTCCTCCTCCGTCTTCCCCCCTTCCCCTCCCCGACACCCACACATGCTCCTCCAGGCGGATGAGTCAGGCAGCATAGCGGACCTGGCAGCTCACACCACCATGATCAGCGTGTATGGGAAGCATGGACTAGTGGATAAGGCGAAGGTGAGCGGGAGAGAGAGAGTAGGGGAGGAAGGGTGCGGAAGGTGATGGTGTTGATTGTGTAGAGAGGGTTAAGTATACACACCACGATGATCAGCGTGTATGGGAAGCATGGGCTGGTGGTGGACAAGGCAAAGGTGTGTGAGGGAGAGTGAGGAGTGAGGACTGGGGGGGGGGGATATGTGATTGTGTATGAAACAAGGGTATGTTTTCTGAGAATTCTCAAAAAACTTGTGTGTGAAACAAGGGGTGATGTGTGTACTACGCATCGCCCCTTGCGCCGCTCCCCCTCTTCATTCCTCGCCTTCCCTTTTCCTTTTTCAAAAGCTGTTGACCAGCCTAAGAGGGTCAGGTCAGGCAGAGAGGACTGGAGAGCTAAGTTGTATGGAACACCATGCTGAGTGGCACATTGCTCACCTCCCCGTTTTCTCAATGCACCTGCTCTTTATGAGCCTGAGTGGGCCAGGAGGAGGCGTGAATGCAGTGATGTGGAAAGCCATGCTGAGTGCGCTGGGAAAGGACAGGCGGATGGGGAAGAGAAGAGCTCATGTGACTTTTGAGTTGACTCAAAAGTCGCTGGGAAAGGACAGGCGGAGGGGGAAGAGCTCATCTGCACACGCATAGTCCCATGCTCTCTTCATTCCCCCTCTACACCTCCCTTCTCTGCCCGTTTCAGCTGCTCTTTACAAGCCTGAAAGGGTGGGCCGGGCAGTGACTTGGATGCAGTGATATGGAACGCGATGCTGAGCGCACTGGGGAAGAAAGGACGGGCAGGTGGGGAAGAGACAGATGCATCAACTCATGCAATCTCCCTCCACTCCTCACATCCTCGTCGCCTTCTGTGCAGTTGCTTTTCACAAGCCTGAGAGGGTCGGGCAGGGACTTGGATGCAGTGATATGGAACGCCATGCTGAGCGCGCTGGGGAAGAACGGGCGGGTGGAGGAGGCGAAGGAGCTGTTCGCAGAGATGCAGGAGTGCGGGCCAGCTCCCACTGTCTACTCTTACTCCATTATGATTGACGCGTGAGTGGGTGTGGGAGAATGAGTGTGCATGGGAGTGATGGTGGAGGAGGCGAAGGAGCTTTTTGCAAAGATGCAGGAGTGTGGGCCGGCACCCACTGTCTGCTCTTACTCCATCATGATCGATGCGTGAGTTGATGGATGCATGAGTGGGTTTGGAGGGGGTGATGGTGGGGCAGGAGGGGTTGGTGCTGTTTGCAGAGATGCAGGAGTGCGGGTGAAGCATCCTGCTTCACACGCACCCGGTGTACTCCTACTCTATTATGACTGATGCGAGAGTTGATGCGTGAGTTGATGCGTGAGTTGATGCGTGCGTCTCCTCTGGTCTGCCTTGCTGGTGACGTTCAACTCCATGCTTGCTGCCTACCGCCGTGCCGGCATGGTCAACAACGGATGGGAGCAGAGAGGGCCGTGGGTCCCACCCAAGGAGAAGCTCAGCTGTGTCTCTTGCCGTCCCTTCCCCTGTCCCCTTTGCCTCCCCTTCATTCAGTTATTGCGAGGCGGATCGCATTCTCGACGCCTCCACTACCTTCGCCCGCATGTCCTCTTCGGGCCTCCGCCCCTCCTTTGTGACATTCAACTCCATGCTCGCTGCCTATCCCTCTCCTGCCCTTCTGCCCCCTGTTTTCCCTTCCCATGCAGATATGGAAAAGTCGATCGGATTCTGGATGCCTCAACAACCTTTGCCCGCATGCTCTCCTCGGGCCTCCGCCCATCTCTAGTCACGTTCAACTCCATGCTCGCCCCTCATCCCTCTCCTGCAATTCTGTCCTCTGTTGCCCCTCTTACTTATCTTTCAGTTATGGAAAAGCCGATCGCATTCTCGACGCCTCCACTACCTTTGCCCGCATGCTGTCATCAGGCCTCCGCCCCTCCCTAGTGACGTTCAACTCCATGCTCGCTGCCTACCCCTCTCCTGCCCTTCTCCCCCCTGTTTTCCCTCCCCATGCAGTTATGGGAAGGCCGATCGCATTCTCGACGCCTCCACCACGTTTGCCCGCATGCTCTCTTCCGGCCTCCGCCCGTCTCTAGTGACGCTCAACTCCATGCTCGCTGCCTACCGCCGTGCCGGCATGGTCAACGACGGATGGAAGCAGAGAGGGTGGTGCGCACCCACCCACCCACAGGGAAGCTGAGCTGTGTCTCCTGTCGTCCCTTTTCCTATCGTCCTTTTTCCTGTCTCCTGTCCCTTGTTTCTGCAGGTATGGCAAGGCCGATCGCATTCTGGACGCATCCACTACCTTCGCGCGCATGCTGTCTTCGGGTCTGCGCCCGTCTCTAGTGACGTTCAACTCCATGCTCGCTGCCTACCGCCGTGCCGGCATGGTCAACGACGCCGCTGCTCTCTTCCGCAGGATGAGAGCAGAGGGGGTGCCGCCCAGCCATGTGTCATATGCCATTCTCATCCACACACACGCTCAGGCGGGCGATTTGAGGGAGGCCACTCGCCTGTTCAGGTGAGCATGGAGCATGAGGGTTGGGGCACAGGGCACAGGGCACAGGGCACAGGGCGTGATGGTTGATGCTCCTCAGGTGACTTGGGGTGCCTGGGGCACGGGGCACGGGGCACGGGGCACGGGGCACGGGGCACGGGGCACGGGGCACGGGGCACGGGGCACGGGGCACGGGGCACGGGGCACGGGGCACGGGGCACAGAGCATGGGAATGGGGCATGGGTTGTGTGTGTGGCCTGTGATTCTTCTCCACACGCACGCGCGGGTAGGGGATCCCAGAGAAGCGACACGATAAGCATGTGTTTGCTGGTTGCTTTGGGGGATGGGCGGGAAACAGAAGCCTCGCAAACAGGGCTTGGGGCGCAGGGGTAGTGGGTGTGCTATGGGCAACCCGAATCTCCACCAAATCATCTCCATGCTCAGAAGGAGTGGAGTGGCTGGAGCCAGTCCAGACTGGTCAACTCTAGAACCGATCGCCTCCCCCAATCCTTCATTCACTCCGCCTCCTCACTCACTCAATGCTTCCCCTGCCCGCCACTACAGAGAGCTGCAGGACAGTGGGTGTGCCGTGGACAACCCGACTCTCCACCGAATCACCTCCATGCTCAGATGGGCTGGCCGAAGCCACTCCAGCATGCTCTAGGGCCTAAAGTTCCAGGTTTCTGGTTTTACCTTTTTGGAAGTCTCAATGGCGACTCAGATATGATAGCTGGTTTGGAGATTGTTGCGACTGCGAGTTGGCTCACGGCAAGACTCGACTGCAGGTTCCGCCCCGTTTATTTAATAATGCATATTCAGGGCAAACTCTTTAGGAACAGGGAATCAGAGGCTTGTGCTAACGAAGGGGGAACTGCACAGCTGTATCTGATGTGCGATCTACCTACGGATGTTTTCTGTATTTGCCAAGCAGGTTTGCTGCACTCAAGTTGGTGTATGCCACAATTGCTGATTCTGTTTTGGTATTGATACTGTACACAACTTCCCCCTCCCCCCTCATCCAAATTTGAAACTGGGCTCACTGTTTAAATTTTTTTTATAGGTATATGTAACTTGCTTTCACTGTTATTTGTTTGTGTAAGGCAACGGTACAGAATACGGGAATCTCTGAACCGGAAATCGGGTTTGAGCGTCAAACTGAAGCGAACAAGGTGGACAAGACGCGGGAAAGCCTTACCGCGTCTCGGCTTGTTCTCGAGGTTAGGCTGGGCACTGATCAACGTACGGTCAGTTCGGTTTGTTTTTTGAATTCTAGTATTAGGTTCGGTCTTCATGGTTTTGGTAAGTTTGTGTAGGTGTTTGTTAGGCGAAGCCACGCAGACCTTGTTCTCCATGCACAAGCATTCTAAGGGCGGGGGCAGCGCGTTCATTTTCGCCACTTTTCCAAAAATTTGGACGCCCGTCGAATCTGGAAGATACTGTAGCTTTTTTGTACCGCGCTTAGTTTGTGTCCCGGGTGGGACACGCGCGTCCAAAATTGCGCACAGGTCCCGCCACACTTTTGCCCAACCGCCCACCCAATGAGGTAACCCTGTGCGACAGAGTTCTGGGTGGCAGCACACACCGAGCTTTGTGAACCCATGAATTTGCGAGGGTCGTACGCGCTTGACGAAGTCGTGACGCGGTTTCGCTGACCTGCACACAAGCATTCTCGAATGATGCGCGGGTTGTTCGCGGCCGTCGTGGGTATGTGTTTTGTTCGGTTGGAGACACGGAAAACAGCCACCGTTCATCCACTGTATATTCCGTCGTGTCCACATGTTACCCTAAATCAGGGTTACAAACCGCTGAATCTGGTAACTGTTTCGGGCTAAGCCAAGAAAATGAACGCGCTGCCCCCGCCCTAAGTCATTCTCGACTGTCCGATCCAATCCACTGAACGTTCAGGCAATATGCTCACCGTCGGATGGTGTACCGACTCTCAAGTACGCCAGTCCTTTCACTGAACTCATCCTTTCTGCATCATTGACATCCATAGATCATCATATCCATTCATGGCTGCTCAGGTACATAAATAGCTGCAGTTCAAGCAGTATCAGCACAAGCAGCATCAGCGCACCAGACACAAGGACGACTCCTCGTCATAGCAGCTTCTTGTTCTTCTTTTCGTATTACAGAAAACTTCTGAGTTTGCCTCTTTTCGTGACTTTCTCAGACTCGGTAGTGGGTGCTGAATACTCTGTTCCAACGCCTTGTTGCCAGAGAGATATCAAGGAGAACTTGCTTTGTGCAACGCCGCGTTGCCAGAGAGATATCAAGGAGAACTTGCTTTGTGCAACGCCGTTCATCGGAGTTTCATTGTCTAATTCGTAGAATCATTTATCCCGTCCATATTAGCCACTCGCCAGTGGTAGCTCCCGCCATGTCGACCCTGTATGTCATGAAGGTGAGAAGGGATTCTCCGCTACTCTATGTTGTCAACGCGTCTTGCGTAGACGAGTAATTTCTATATTTAACGCTCGGGATTAAAGTCTGATGCTCCCCCTCCTCCCTCTCTTCTCCGTCTCCCCTTCCGAGGGGGTCTCTTGGATTCTTATCGCGTTTGAGTTTTTTTCTCATTTTGATTGATGGATGTCGATAGCGTTTAGCTCTTCTCGGCTAGATCAAGTCAAGTCGCTTCTATAGGACAAGGAGATGACGTTCGCAACACGTCTCGCGGCGACCCTCTCGGGCAACCCACAACAGCAGCATCCCCCCCGTCGAATTCAGGCGAAACTACTGTTTTATTTTTCTTCTTTTTGCACCACTCTTTTCTTAATCCGTTTACCCTTTCCCATCTCCCTGCACCGTTCCCCTCTTCTTCCGCTTTTCGTCACCTTCATTCACCGTTCCCCCTCCCCTGCAGGTCAATTGCAACGGCGTTTTGCGTCGCGTTTCGTCCCGCTGCTCCCCTCCGTCGTTCCGCCACGTCAGCCTTCGGATTCGGGCGCTCCTGGATATCCCCGCCAGCAAGCCGATTTCGCTGACGTACAGAGATACAGACGGTGACGTTATTGCGCTCTCCACGGACGAAGATCTGCACGACGCCTTCGTTTTTCAGGAGCTGAATCCGTTACGAGTTGACGTGGTCGTTGACGGAAAGGCTGATGAGACCACTGATGCTGACGCTGACGTTGACGTGATCGCTGGCGTTAGCAGTGACGGCGTCTTGACAACTGCCAAGCTGACGGACGTTAAGTACCTTCTTCCAGCCGTCAGCACGTCGGTTGCTGTCAGCACGGACTACCTGCTCCCACCTCCCTCGCGTTCTGCGAAGGGAATCAACGTACGTACTAACGTCTGCTAGTTCTTTTTAGACTTCAAGAGAATATTAAGACCAGTTATGTTCATGTTCTTTCCTCTAATTTAGACCAGTAAGTTCTAAGTTATTTAGAAGCGAAGTCGTTTCTAAGGATATCGCCCATTTCGCCCATGTCGTTAGGTCGTTCTTAAATACTGTGTCTTCTCCCGTAAGTGCAACTGTGTTCCTCACACTCTTAACTCCTAGAACTATCCTCTCATTTCTCTATCATGTCGTTTTCCTCATTCCTTTCCTTTCTTATCAGCTTAGACGCTCTTCTTTCGGTTTTTCTAGTATCTGTGCCCCATCTTCTCGTAGCTATGTGTGTGTGTGTTTTTTTTTTCTGTCATACTTAAATGCTCTTTCTGTCTCATTTCTTGCAATGTTTCTTCTCCTCGCATCTCGCGTATAGTCCTCGTATTGCATGTTATCTTCCTTCCGTATTGGTTCCACTCCTACCTTCGTGCGGTTTTTGAATATGTCTTTCATAAGTCTACGAATGTTTTTTTAGAAGCCATAGTTTATTGAAGTTCTCTCTCTCTCTCTCTCTCTCTCTCTCTCTCTCTCTCTCTCTCTCTCTCTCTCTCTCTCTCTCTCTCTCTCTCTCTCTCTCTCTCTCTCTCTCTCTCTCTCTCTCACGGTCCGTCGTATTAATATCATCAAGGTACAAACAAGGTAAGTTAGCAAACACATGCAGCAAGGCTACTACTTCAACACTTTCTTAACCCGTACACACAAATAGGTGTCTTATAATGAGGCTAGCCTGTTTATAAGAGACACCCGTATAATAGACAACCCCTGTCTACTATTCAACACTGTCTTATATCCGGGTGATGACGGTAGTCACAGAGGGCAAGTGAGGAGGAGGAGGGCTGGCGAGGGGAGAGAGGAGTGGAGGCGACGACTGAAGCTGCAGACACACGGGCAACAGACGGCTCTGGTGCAGCTCTAGTGGCTACCGGGAGCAAGGGCCCCGGAATACAGGAGTAACAGGCTCTGCGTCTGATCAGCAGCGACAGGAGCAACGGACCCACGGGCGACAGGTGCAACCGGCTCTCTGAGCTACCGGTGGCTATCAAAACCCTGGAATACAGGCGCTGCAGACGACACGACGGCGGCCTCCGCTCAACCTCCCCCAACAGTCCCACACCCCTCGACACACACCCCCTGCTTCGCCCCTAGCTCCACTCCCCTTTCACCCCCCTAGTACCACTCCGTCGGCTCCAACAGGTCCACCCCCCTCAGCGGCAGCTGCAGCACAGGGAGACGGAGGAGGAGGAGGAGCAGGGAACGGCACACAGAAGCTGCACCCCCATACCCCCCACCCCCAAACCCTAATCCAGGAGTACGGGCAGAAGGAGGGGTGGGGCGCCTTCAGAAGCACGGGGGACAGCGGGGAGGACAGGGGCAGCGAAGAACGGGCCGCCCACGGGTCTGGCACAGCCTCCCGAACCGCGCGCAGGCGGCCCGAGCCGCGCGCGGGCCTGGCGCAGCCCGTACGGGCCGCGCGCGGGCCTGGCGCAGCCCGTACGGGCTGCGCGTCGGCTGTACGTGTCAGAATCCAGCGGCAGGAAATGAATGAACTAGCAGCATGCAGGAGTACAAGTAGTAAACCCTAATTGGGCTGTACCCCATATGGGCTACCCCACTACAGCCTAGACAATATGCAGCATATATGTTTGACACACCCCCATAGGCAAAGTGGGGGAGAACAAGGGGTCAAACGACCAGTCAAGAGAAGCAAAGCAAGCTCAGGGTGGATCTCAACGTCACCACACATTCTGAGCACAAGCAAAGGGCCACAAGGCCAGTCCACATGCAGAGATATATATGCAACAATAACAGTACAGTGATGACTACCTAGCAAGAGCAGGCATGCATGTATATATATAGATCACAGTACAAGCAGAGACTACAGCAAGTGTGGAAACGTAGGCACAAGACCTAACAGGGTACAAAAGCGCTGATGATCACCAGACGGAAGTGCCTTGGTGAATATATCAGCAGTGTTGGCCCGAGTGGCCACGTGACGAAGACGAAGCTGGCCTCGCTGCTGCAACTCTCGAGCCAGGAAGTAACGCAGAGCAATGTGCTTCGTTCTGTGCTCCAGTCTGTGCTCCTCACACAAGGCAATGGCGGCCTTGTTGTCGACGTACAGCACTGGAGGAGAACGAGGCTGCTCTCCCAAGTCAGTCAGCAGGTAGGTGAGCCAGCGTAACTCCTGTGCAGCCATGGCTGTGGCGTAGATCTCAGCCTCACAACTGGAGCTGAGAACTGAAGACGAGCGTGTAGAACGCCACGAAACTGAACCAGAGCCAAGGCTGAAGGTGTAACCCTGTGACGACCGCTGAGTAGCCTGGTCGTCA